GGGAACTTCTATGAATGTCAGCTTTCGTACCTTCAGGGGTGCGTCTATACTTATGATACGCACTGTATTGTACATAGTTGAATACCACAGGAATCCTCAACCTGCATATATCATTTCGCGTACGTTGCAGGTTCGCGATGAATACAGAGACGCTTTCGATCCTGAGCGAGGAGGTTTCGGAAGAGCATTTCAAAACTATGGTGAAGAAATCCAGACCAACGAATAATGACTACCCTACCGTAATTCTCAACCAAGCCCAGTTGCTTTACATGATACTCAAATGAAGTGAAGTGTTTTTTCTTACTACTCACCAATAAAACTTTTTCAAACATTGCCTGAATTCTGAAAATCTTTATATATAGCTCATTAAAATTGTGCTACAACTGAAACACTGCTATTTACTTGTCTAATTTGCTGTCGTTGCTCCAATCAAGCGGTGCTCACGCAATAGGCCAATCCCATTGGCCCTTTGGTGCAGGTTCAACAAGCGGCTCCCATGCTTTCGATTCTATGATTGCTCTTGCGGCTTCAAGCTCCATTTCGGCCTTAAGATTGAAGACGATGAGAGAAGAAATGAAGCTCAAGACGCAGTGAAAGTGATGCGACATACATCCATGAAAAAAGCCACAATTTTTGCAAATACTACCTGCTCAATGACCTCCTCCATTTGTCCCATTCCTATTTTCTCCTCCAACGCTGGGATACTGTCCTCGGACTGGACTAGTGCTAGACGCTGTTTTACAATCTAAACTCCCAACTTAAACAGCTGCAAAGAAACGAAAAAGCTGATATCGTTTACCGCCTCAGTGTATTTTCTATAAGCAGCCGTGGGTGGGATCTGTTCCAAAGCTTTCAGAATTCGGCAATATATTACATTCAGAGTACGATGAGGATGCTCGTTCACAAAAAGACCAGTGAGGCCTGTGGTCTGAAAAAAATATGTGAGATTATATTAGGTTGAGCGGAGTCATCCGCAGTTTTCATTTTAAGCATAACTTTAATTAAAAACCGAACAAAAACAAAAAAATGACTAATCAACACAGCAGTGCAAACAATCCTTTCTGTAAATGTTTTGTTAACTCTACGAATAGATGCGGCAGCATTCGTTTTCGAGCCCAACTTGTGCTCAAGTAGCATGAGCAATTTTTAATTCGCGTATAAAGCTCCACAAGTGAAGCAAAAGGTTTACGGACTACTTGATTCTCCATTCAACGGTCCTGCCACGATGGCTAGAGCACAGACGATTAGAGAGGGGACTGAGCCTCGAAAAGGAGAGGGATCCGTGAGAGAGAGAGGTGGTTTAAAGGGCGAGTTCAAGTAGTCCGTCGACCGAAGCAAATACACAACACTTTACTATAAAACGTACAGCAGATTGCGCGCTTTCAGATTACATCATAATCTCAGAGAAAAATGTGTGTGGCTTTTCGAGTACTTTACGGAGGGTACGTCGTATTCAAATGTTATTCCACAACCTAAAGAGATGAGAAGAACGGGAAC